GCAGATGAGATTCTGCCGAAACGTTGCTACAACTTTAAAAGCACAACTAGGTTGAAAATTATGTCCTTGTGTTGAATAAGAAAATCAATTATTGTTGCAAATGAACTCTTAATTGCTACAGTATAGTAACATTTACTTTAGCAAATGACTGTTCTCAAGAATTCTGTTTCTGTGCTTATACAATATTTATTCACCCTGCAGGGGTTGAGGATTATATTCACTGATGCTTCCAGACTCATCTTTAGATTAAGTGCTTCAAGCCATGTGCGAGCCACCCTTAGAATCTATGCAGAAAGTTATGAAAAAGATCCCAGCAAACATGAGAAGGAGCCACAGGTAAACAGAGATAAATTACTTTTATACTTCCAAGAAAAAGATACTATGTATATCAGCGGTCCGCAACCTTTGCGGCTTACCAGCCCTGCTTGGGGGGAGTGTGCCATGCGTGCACACGTAGCTCGACTGCAAGTTGAGCTGAGTGCGCATGTGCGCCAGCCTGCTTCTCGCATGAATTGAGCTATACATGCACCAGCCCACTACTTATGTGCCTGGGTTGCAAATAGGACACAGCCCAATATTGGGCTGGGTGTTGGGGACCCCTGGTTAAGATATTCAAAGGAAACTAAGATATATGGTAGACTTCCCCACTGGTTGGCCTTCATTCATATCTGGAGACCATTTCTGTTCATGGGAAGAGGGGCACCGGTATGGCTAGGTCTAACCAGAGACATCATGCCTTTCACCTCTTACATTTATTAATTGAAATCACTTCAAACTGGATGAAAACCCTGAATATTACGTAAGCAAATAGTAGATTGTTACAGTTTCATTCTTAAATATGTAGTGAAGGTTCATGTGGCCAGACATTGTAACGATACAAATTGTAAAACATATACCCTTGGCAAGAGTGTTTTAAGTGATAGACTGCTTTACAGAGGGTATAAATTGGGAATTAATCATGGATAGCAGAGCAGAATCGATAAAGGTGGGGGAAGTTTTTCGAACGTTTTTTTAAAAATTCTAAAAATGCTGTCCCTCATCCCCCAAAAAATTCTCACTGGAAAGAGAGATTCCAGAAAGGTCACAATAAAGACCCCGAATTGAGAATTCTACATTTTGTTGCTAGTCCCACTTTTACCTCTGTCTCTTATTCTTTCTTATTTCAAAATGCCATGTTTACTGTAATCACATCATGTATTGACATCTCTCGCTAGCTGAGATCCCCAATGCTGTGCCAAACCATGAATTGTTAATTATCCAATAATTTATTTATTTATTTATTTTATTTCATTGTATTGTTATGACCACCCATCCCACAAACAAGTGACTCCAAACTTTGCTAAGGCTTCATTTTGAGTCTTTATATATTTACAGGCTCTGTACTCTTATTATGCTACCTTATGGTTCAAGCATAAGCATTGGCAAAGTACAAAACTTTCCATGGTTGAAATGCAGTAATCCATGCCTTTTCTTTACATCACCTAAATAAGATTGCAAATCTAAGCACATTTATTTGAAGTGCAAGAGTTGCATTTCCAAATAAATAAATCAGGCAATAAAACCCTGATTGAAAAAGGATAGATTTCATCTGCTCTTTCTGTTCCTTAAAGCAGAACTTAAGAAAGCTTCTCCTGCCAAGCCTAAAAAGATTGCAGCTCAAAAGCCAAGATCAAAATGTTTGTAATAAGAATGGGGGGGATTTGGGGGGCCTGTTTCTATAAAACTACTTTTATGTGCACCATACATGGCTATAGGATACATTCTTTTAACATGAAATTTTCTCATGGTAGAAAAGAAGGAAATATATATTTTTATGCACAGAGACCTCCTTATTTCGCCCTTTCTCTTTTACTTTACTTTCATAAATTAAAATTAAAATTCAACATTTTTAGCATAGCTCGTTGTTAAGCTAATTTGTCTGGAGAATTATTTTCCTAATGTATTCCAGTAATTTGCTGCAGTAATACTGCAGTTGGGAAATACATCCAAGCAACTTTTGGATTCCTTGTAAGGAAGAAATGCGAAGCTGCTGGAGAGTTCTTTTCTGTATTTATAAACAAAAACTGTTCTGTACTAAAGAGGAGCTAAGGGATAAAGGGGTGTTTCAGCAAATGCAGCCAACCTCTCCAGAATTCATACTTGCTGTCAATTTTGCCAAATTGGAAACGTTCGCCAGACAGGCTTTCTCAAGGGAGGAGAATGAAGAACAGTATCTTAATTATCTGAGGATGAGAATAGCATGTGAAATTAAAAATTAAGGTTCAGCCTTGCATCCAGGATGGCTACCACAGTTGCAGAATAATCTCAGCTCTCGGTAGGAAATGTATTTAAGATTGTCAAAATTATCAAGTTATCCAATCCAGCTTTTTTTTTTTCCAGAGGGAAAGTGTGTCTGGGAGAAGATTTAAGGTGGGATGTTTTGCTAGAGATCCATTAAGAGCAAAGTGCCAATAGTTTTCTTTCTCCCCCCTCCCTTTTTTTTCTATTTGGGGGGAAAAAAAACCTTTACTTGCTGTTTTTATCAATAGGAACAATAAACTGGGAAAGCCGCAAGTGCATAAAAACCAGAAAAGGAGAACATATTTCAATATCGGGAATACTGTTAGGATGCTTAGTTATCAGCCGAGATAACTTAGGAAGAGGGTCCTTTCTAAGTTTTTTCCTCTGACTGTTAAGCCATTGAGGGCTCCCCACTCTTTTGTCCCATTGTTTCCTGGCCAGCATCCCATTCCCTTGGCCCCCAAGGTCATCCTGATTTACTATTACATGTTGTAACATCTTGAAACAGATTTAAAAAACAAACAAACAAACAACAACATCTGTGCATAGAGGTTGTGAATATCTGTTCCAACTTTTGACCCATAACTAGGAATAGTGAGGTTTGGAATCTTTCCCAAGTGATGTTTTGCTGCAGCTGCTTGAAGAACCAGGTATTTCCCTTCGTATGTGAAATGGCATGACCCGGGCCACTTTGTGCCCAGCCAGTGCAATAATGAACGTACTCTTTGGAGAAAAATTAATCACCAGCTAATACCCAGATAATAGAATAGGCAGTGCAATCGGACTAGAAGTAATGTTTACACATTGCATTAGGTCATAATGGAATTTATTCATTTTTTTCTGTACCCGAATACGCCAATTGTTGCAGAAATAAGTCATAAGTGATCAGCAGATCATTTTTTATGGCATGCAGTATCTTCCAACATTGAGTTGGCAGAAACTTGGCAACTGCAGCAGCAACATTTTTCATAAGAAAGAAAGAGAGAGAGAGGGAGGGAGGGAGGGAGAGAGTGAGAGAGAGAGAGAGAAAGAAAGAAAGAAGAAAGAAAGAAAGAAAGAAAGAAAGAAAGAAAGAAAGAAAGAAAG